TGTGTGTGTGTGTGTGTGTGTGTGTGTGTGTGTGTGTGTGTGTGTGTGTGCGTGTGTGCGTGTGTGTGTGTGTGCGTGTGTGTGTGCGTGTGTGTGTGTGTGTGCGTGCTCTCTGCCTGGCTTGGTGCGTTGTTTGCGTAGTTTTCAGTTGGGGGGGGGGGAGAGCCTCAAGAGCATGTTAATGTTCATACGTTCGTTTTAGCTGCATTTTCACATCATTTAACAATTCCGCGAGCTCAACGCTGCCGTAGTGCCTAGTTCGCGCGCGTTTGATTTCCCCCGCGCACATTCACGTCATCGTTTCATATTTTTTAGTCGAGCGCAAAACCGAAAACATATCGTCGGATGCTGCTGGAGGTCAGCCATTGCTGACTGTTCCACTGCAGCTACTACAGAACATGCAGGCGACTGCAGCTAGTCAGGTGCGTTGTCCCTCCCCCCACGTCTCCCGGGCAGGATCGGTAATATGTTCCCATAGATACGGTTACGATAGATACAGTATAATACATTTATTAATAATGCTCGTCCAGTAATGGGTTAATATGATATTTGATCATAGCTCGACAACTCATATCACGCGACAGAATTATAATTTTTCCCAACTGATGATGGAAGCGCCTCATTCAAGGTCAAGACTCGCGATGACGACGGCTAATCAACTTAATTAACAAAATTATAATTCTGTCGCGTCATATGAGTTGTCGAGCTATGATCAAATATTATATTAACGTATTACTGGATGAGCATTATTAATAAATCTATTATACCGTATCTATTGTGACATTTATTGGAACATATTACCAATCTAATACTGTATAAGCTGTATATTTCGCGGTGGTTTAGTTTTCGCGAATTTCGCGAATGCGTCCCCGACCGCAAAAAGAACAATACGCGAATAATTCATACCGAATAATACCGAATAATTCATAATTCACCGACCGCGAAATTAACCACTCACAAAATTTTCCGTCAAGTCTGAATTTGCGAAAATATCTGTATGCGAAAAATACGGCTTATGCAGTAATATCGATAAGTGAAATTAAAGCGTCGCACGCTCGCGGCTCAACGGCCGAATCGCGACCTATCGACCTCGACACCGTCATTATAGTGGTCGTTGCCGTGTGTTTCCAGAAGGGGGCGCCGGACGACTTTGACGAGGATTCCGATGAGTGCGATGAGCCTCCGCCCGAGGTGCTCAAGCGTTATCTGTCGATGAGGCGGCACACGGTCGGCGTCGGCGACCACAGGTGAGAGCGGTGAGCGGGGCCGCGTGGCGCCGGGCAGGAGGGAGTGTGGCGTGGGGCAGGGTAGGGGGGAGCGTGGTGCGGGGCAGGGTAGGGGGAGCGTGGCGCCGGGCAGGACAGGGGGGAGCGTGGTGCAGGGCAGGACAGGGGGAGCGTGGTGCTGGGCAGGACAGGGGGGAGCGTGGTGCAGGGCAGGGAGGAGCGTGGTGCAGGGCAGGACAGGGGGGAGCGTGGTGCAGGGCAGGACAGGGGGAGCGTGGTGCAGGGCAGGACAGGGGGAGCGGCGTGGGTCAGGCAGGACAGGGGGAAGCGTGGCGCGGGCAGGACAGGGGAGGCGTGGCGGCGGGCAGGACAGGGGGGAGCCGTGTGCGTGGCAGAACAGGAAGAGCGTGTGCGGGCAGGCAGGGGAGCGTGGTGCGGCGCAGGACAGGGGAGCGTGGCCAGGACAGGGGAGGTGGGCAGACAGGGGGAGCGTG